ATAATAATATATATATATATATATATATATATATATATATATTCCCACCTTATATTAATAGAAATTGAACAGTGGGATTGGATAATCTAATTCTCTCTCTCAACTTAGGGTTTCTCCGTTTTTGCTACTCTTTGTTTCCATCTTCCCCATCGCTGCTGGGTTTCCATCTTCCCCATGGCTACTATGTTTCCATCTTCCCTTCTGTCTTCTCCATGGCTACTGTATTTCCATCTTCTGATCGTTACTGTGTCTTCCCATCACTACTGTGTTTCCATCTTCGGATCGCTACTGTGTGGAGGAAGAACTTTGGAATTGAGGTGATCTTGGAGGAGGATCTAGGAGCGACCTTGAGAATGTGGTGTTCATGGCATCGATAGGGAGGGGCACCCTATGTACTTGTTGCTGTGTACCTGAGCAAAGAGAACGATACTGCCTACCAACAGTGGTTAGGGATTGCAGGTACATCGCAACAGTGGTTGGGGATTCAAAATATATTCTGACTGTCAAAATTAGCCCTTGTATTCTTGTTGTAGGGGGGCTTTGTTCTAGAGAGAGGACTTGTTGGGTGGCTTCATTCTAGAGAGAGTGAGAGTTTGTAGTTGGGGAAGTGGACTTGTAGGGGGTTTCATTTTCCTAGTGTTATTTGCTGTTCTCTCTCTTTGGGGTCCTTCATTTTTCTTTGTTTGTAATTAGGATTCTCTCTCCTCTTTCTCTTTCTTCTTGAGGAGCTTGATAAGTTACCTCATTTGTGAAAATCTTTCTCTTTCTCTCTCTAGGAAACTATATCTTTGGCTCTTGATTTGTTCTGATCTTCTCACTGTTAATCCCTTGTGATACTCCTTTTGTATTGTGATCCTTAATAATATCTCTCGATGATTTCTTGTGATCTTTTCCTCTCTATTTTGAATTTGGGTCGTTTCTCGCTCTCTCTCTTTCTATTTTTGGACTATAAGAACGATATCTCAATCTTTGAATTTGCAAATCTAGTGATCTCTCTGCGTTTCTTGATTTTGGTCGATCTCTCTTCATCTTTACCATGAGTCGCTCTCTCTCTCCCTCCCCTTTTCTTTGTTTTTTTGGTGCAATTTTGGTACTCTTATCTTAAGCTCGAGATGGATTCTCTTCGGTCCTTCAAAATCTTTTCTCAATTTATTTTGGGACTCTCTTTTCTTTCAGTTTATTTTGGCACTCTCCCTCTAATCTACAAAAGTTTGCAGCAACTTATTTTGGAACTCTCTATTCTACAAAATTTGCCTCTCTTGGAGTAAGAATGACATCACTTGCCTAATTTTGCAGAAGTAAATTTTATTTATCTTTAATGAATATGATGAATATGGCCAATTTAAATGAGCATCGCATAAATTGGTCAATGTATCTCATGATCATAATGTCCATTTAATTGGATCCGGATCCAGATCCTATATATAATTTTGGATCGGATCTCGATTCGGATCCGATGTATACTATTCGGATCTGGATTTAGGTGGATTCGATAAACGTTGGTGTAGGTCCACTAGCCTATAACTACATATTAGCCCAACAGCCTAGATTGATCTGGGCCGATCTGACAGACATGACCCCAATTCGTATTTGAATTTTAGTTTTTTTCTACAAATCCAATTCAC